CCTGGCAATTCACACAGCTCCATCATCCCAGCAATTCCCACAAATCCCAATTAAATCCTGGGAACTATGGATAATCCAGCCTTCCACTCCCACTGCCCCCACAACATCAGCGCTGGAAGGGACTGGGAGGGCCTGTTTGCAGCCAGGCTTTAACTTAGGACCATTAATTAATTTAATTAATTAGTTTTAAGAACAGGAACACTGCACCATCACCAAACCTGAGGGTGGCACAGAGGCAGCAGCTGTGCGAACTCACACACTTGTTTGATGTATCTAAGAGTCTGTACTAAAAAACCAGAGCACTCAAAATTTGATATATTGGAACCTCTCCAGGTTTTGCTGCTAGCAAAAATACACTGGAATTACAGGAATACCTCAATTCTGTGAGAAAACTGAGACTTACTAAGTCACAGCTGAAGTTTCTGAGAAAAAATCAGTTATCTTGTTAGAAGCTCTTCCAGAATCACCCAGTTTTTTCTCTTTTGACCAAGTATTGGTTTACAGAGATTTTAAAGAGGAACACAATGTAGTGTTGCTCCTGCTCTCATGTACTGCTTGCTCCTGCTGAACAGAACTGCAGCTCTGGTAGCAACACATGACTGACACTAAGTGAGGGACTAGGCTGGATTTTTAAGTGTACAACAGGATGAAAGGCACTCCCTCTAGAATATTCCAGGGACCTGAGGTGGGATATTCCAGGGCTGCCCAAGGTCAGCTGTTCCCAGGGCTCAGAGTTGGGGCCAGGTGCCTGTGCCAATCCTGCCCAGCCCCTGCTCCTCTGCCCTCCTCCTCACCTTCACCTCTGGCATTTGGGCACACAATGAACCCAGTCACCTCTCCATGCCTTTTATAAACATTTTATAAGGAATCAGCCAGTCCACTTAGCAAATCCATGGCCAAATCAGGGCTAGGAATCAGGTCACCAGGCTCTACCTGCACCACCTGCAGCCCACAGGACCCCAGAGCTCCTTTGGGAACTGCTTCTGTTTGTATTCCAAGGCAGGAACCCCAACCCCGAGTCCCCTAAAAACAGCCAGAGGACAGGAACCCAATGGGATCCTGTCCCTGAGCCCCCTGAACACAGCCAGAGGGACAGGACCCTACAGGAACCCAATGGGATCCCATCCCTGAGCCCCCTGAACACAGCCAGGCACCCCAGGGAGGACAGAACCCCACAGGAACTCAATGGGATACTGTCCCTGAGCCCCCTAAAAATATCCAAGGAGGACAGAACCCCACAGGAACTCAATGGGATCCTGTCCCTGAGCCCCCTAAAAATATCCAAGGAGGACAGGACCCTACAGGAACCCAATGGGATCCTGTCCCTGAGCCCTCTAAGCCCAGCCAGAGGGACAGGACTCTACAGGAACCCAATGGGATCCCATCCCTAAACCCCCTAAACACAGCCAGGGACCCCAGGGAGAACAGGACCCCACAGGAATCCAATGGGATCTTGTCCCTGAGTCCCCTAAGAACAGTCAAGGAGGACAGGACCCCACAGGAA